AACTTGGAGGGAGACATTCTAAACTTAGGTGGGGTAAAGATGGACGAAAGAAATCTCAATGTGGAGTAAGAAGAAAAAAGAGACCATAGACCCACATTTGACCATTGCCCTATTAGGCTTGCCCAGGAAAGGACTAGAGGTGGACCTTCCCCCTTTAGGTTTGAAAACATGTGGCTCCTTGGGCTTTGTTAAAAAAACGCAAGAATGGTGGTTTGAGGATGAAGTTGAGTATAGGTGGAAGGGTTACTAATTTTATAAAAAATGCAACTATTGAGAGCTAGAATTAAAGAATGGAACAACTAGGAGTTYGGTAAGATGGAGGAGAGGAAAAATTGGATTGCCCATAGGAATTGGATGAAGCTGAGTCGAAGGGGAGGCTAGAGAGGGAAGGGAGAGAGGAAAGATGGAATTTAAAACTTGAGCTTGAAGAAAAAACTAAGAGAAGAAATTAGTTGGAGATAAAAATGAAGATATAGATGACTTAAGGAGGAGATGGAAATACCAGATTTTCTACACATTGGCAAATGGGAGGAAAAGGAAGAATTATGTTTCTAGGTTGGATTGGAATGAATCTACCCTAACGAGAGAGGAAGACATAACAAAGGTCTTCATGAATCATCTTAAATCCATATATGACAAACCTGATAGAGTTAGAGAAAGCTTACCTAGATTGGAGTGGCAAGAAGGAAACAAGGAGATGGTGATGGAATTGGAGAGACAATTTTAGATGCAAGAAGTGAACAAAGAAATCTTGTCCATGGAAAGATCAAAAGCTCTAGGTCCAAATGGTTTCTTGATTGCTTTCTATCAGGATTTTTTGGACATTTTAGGAAATGATCTAATGGAGGTATTTGAGGAATTCTATGGGAGAGGTAAAAYCAATTCTGGTGCTAATGCCACTTTCTTGGCTCTGATCCCAAAAGGTGGATGCCTCTCACCCAAGAGATTTTAGACTTATTAGCCTGGTATGTAGCATGTATAAAATCATATCTAAGGTTTTGAAAAAAAGATTTATTATGTAAAATTGACTTGGAAAAGGCCTATGACATGGTGGATCGGAAGTTCTTATTGGAAGTATTGAGGATTCAAGGTTTTAGTGAGATGGTGAAAATGGGTAAAGGGTTATATTTTCTCTTGCACTACTGTATCTTGGTTAATGGTGTGGCCGGAGACTTTTATTTTTTTTCTAACTAAGAGAGGTCTTAGACAAGGAAATTCACTCTCCCCCTTGTTTACCTTGATTGTTGATGTTTTATGATTTTTTATCTTGGAGCTGATACAAGGAAATTAAAAGATGGAGAGTAGGGAGGTAGGAGGTGATCATCACACATCTACAATTTGCAAATAGTATACCGTTGTTTTGTGAAAAGGAGTTGGAGGAATTAAGAAACCTTAAGAATCTTGTTAATCAATTTGAAAGGGTTTCCAATATGAAAGTGAATTAGGGAAAGAGCCATGTGGCAGGGATAAATAGGGAAGAGGAAGGAGTCACAGGACTAGCTAACATTTTGGGTTGTGGGCAAATGATTGGCCTATGAGTTATTTGGGTCTACTTTTGGAAGGAAACCTGAATTCAAGACTTTTTGGTACCCAGTCTTGGAGGGGTTCTCAAAAAAAGCTAATAGGTTGGAAAATTATTTCCTCTTTACTTTTCGTATCCCTGTTACTAACAAATTAGAGAAAATCATGAAAGACTTTTTGTGGCAACCTAGTGAAACAAAAAATGATCACTTGGTGAAGTGGGAGGTGGTCTCCAAGAGTAAGGAGCAAGGGAAATTAGGGATTAGAAACATTAGGCAAAGAAATTTAGCACTCTTAGGGAAGTGGCTTTGGAGATTGCCCCTTGAGCAAGATAGGTTGTGGCACAAGGTAATAGTCAGCATCCATGGATTTGTGGCAAATGGTTGGGACACGGGACTTGACCCAACCTAGAGTTATGCATTATTCCCCATGGAAATCTATTCTTGTAGCTCTACCCTCTTTCCTCCCCTCAGTGTTTCCAATCCATCGTTGACTTGGAGGGTTGAATCATCTGAACCGTCACTCGACCATGATTTTGGGTCCAATTTGGCTAAAACCCATTTACTTAGTCAAAAACCGTCCAACCCAAGCAGTTAAACCATTGACTTGTTTGACCCGGTCACTAGATCATGGGTTGCACACTAAATGTATGTGCAAACTTCTGGAGGCCATAACTTTGCACTCAAATGTCCAAGTAGGGTAATTTTTTGTTTTTATTTTAGGTAACTTCTCAGGATCTATGCATCCCAAGGCGTTGTTGGCCCTCTATTTTTGCCAAAAAAACCTTTTTTGGCCTCAAGTTGCAATTTTTAGCATTTTTTTACAAATAAAAAATTAAAAACTGAATTAAAAATATAAATTAAATATAAAATAATGCATATATTACATGTAGAATATAATTATGTATTATTAATTGATAAAATGTGTTTATATCTATCTATCTATCTATCTATCTATCTATCTATMTATATATATATACATGTATGTATGTGTATATGTGTATATATATTTGCTAATGTGGCACGATCTGACTCATTCGACTCAAATAGTCAAACTGCTGTCCCATGACCCAGAGGCAGAAATGGTTCAGCCTTTGGGTCAGTTTTTAAAACATTGCCTCCCCTTCATGGGGTACGATGCTTGTTGTGGCGATAAAGTGCTTTGTGGGAAAAATATTTGGCTTGGGGACACCTCCGTCATGGTTAAATTTCCTTTGCTTTAATCTTTTTCTTTTCATAAACAAAAACCTATCTTCAATTCATGGTAATGGGGACTCCTGGGATTTGGATCGCAAAAAAGGACTTGGGGAAGCTGAAATGGGGGCTATTGATGAAATTCTTTCTCTATTGAACTCTGTTTTCTTGAAATAGTCTTGCTAGGATAGCCAATTTTGGACGACCTCTCCTTCTGGAATGCTTTCTTACAACTCTTTCTTCAGTTCCCTTCTCCACTCACCCAAGCAGACTTCATCTTTTCGAGCCAAATAAATATGGTGTAAACTTGTGCCTCCAAAAAGTAGGGTTTTTGTTGGGAAGTAGTTCTTAATAAGCTTAACACTTGTGATGTTCTTCAGAAAAGAAGGCCTAATCGATGCCTTTCCTCTCATGTTTGTATCCTTCATCTGCACACCTATTAATCTCTTGTCCTTTTATTTCATATATTTGGGATTGGTTTTCCTCTCTCTTTGGTTGTAGTTGGTTGCTTCCACTTTCTATTAGAAGCCTTGTTTGATGTAGGCTTCCTTATACAACCAAAGGATGAGGGCATAGTTTTCAAGGCATCTGGGCAATTATGGGCAACACTGGGGTGCCTGGTTTCCTAGGTGTCACCTAGGAAATAAAAATTTTATAATATAAAAAACTAACTTTGGGATGCTTCCCTAGTTTTATATACAAAATCTTTTACATATATTAATTTCATTATTTTCAAAAATAATACTACTGTAATAAGTATTTAATAGAGCAATTTCATATCAATTAGCAGCTAAAGAAGGTTATTAACTTTATATGATAAATATTCAAGATGGAAAGTAAGATATCTGTTTTATTTAATTAGAGTGAGAGAAAAGAAAAAAAAAGAACCTCTTTATAATTCTATTCTTTCTTTCTTTTTCTCTCCTCAAAATCCTTTCTTTTAAATTTCAATAATAAAACATTAAAACAAAGTATAATTGATATATATATATATATATATAGAGAGAGAGAGAGAGAGGCTGATATGTTGTGATTTTTTTTTTGATAAATGATATGTTGCAAAATTTCCACCCTTGCTTCTGGGGGTGGTTTGGGAAGAAAGGAGGAGTCACATCTCCCAAGGATCAACTAAGTCAAAGGAGGAACTGATTTAAAGCATTACCATCATAGTTGTGCATTGAGTAAAAACAAGTGAACTATTCAAGGAGTTTTCAGTGTAGGATATAATTAGGGGGGGGGGTGAAATGCAGTAGTAAATATTCTCTACTATCAAGGCTGTGCTGTTTTGGTCTAGGAGAGTTGGGTTCCCTCAGCACTCCAAAGAATTAAGCTTAATTTGATGTAATTTTGATGGGAGTTCGTTTGGCAACCCAGGACCTTTAGAGATGGGGAAGGAAAGGTAGTGGCTTTATATTTCGGTCCAATAGGGGTGGAAGATTCACTTAGAGCAGAACTATTGGCCCTCTTCCAAGGTCTGAAATTGGCTAAACAGTTAAGGTTCCAGCAGATAGAAGTGGAAGGTGATTCCAAGTTAGTGATAGGGTGGATGCAGAAAAGAAATCTGGGGGTGTAGACCCACAGGCAGATCATAAAGGAGATATCTTGCCTAGCAAGAGAGGTTGATGCCAGTTTCAGATGGATTAGAAGATCAGCTAATGAGATGGCTGACAGTTTAGCTAAACAAGGGACAAATAGGGGGGAGCCTTTTTGGGCCATGTAGTTCTGTTTAAGCAAGTTCTGGATGTTCAGACTGTTGTAATACTTTTAAATATTAATTGAAAGTAACCATTTCCAGTAAAAAAGAATCCTTCAAGGTTAAATCCTTCCTTTTTTTCTCGTTATAGAATAAGATTTGTTGTCATAACCTATTTATACATATTCCATATAGAAAAAAAAACTTTGACCATGCATATTTAATGGCATGTCTGTGAATGTATTAAATTAGTTTGCATGCACATTTCAGCGTATTGGATTTGTCAGCAGAAATTTGTGTGACACCATTTATTTGTGTCTGGAACATTAGTTAAATGGTTATATCTATGAACACAGCTTATGTATCAGAGATAAAAGCAGAAAATTTGAAAAACCTAGCATTGATGAGTAACATAATCTCCTTGAGGTGTACTTAGCAAGCAAACCTTTTTTTTTCATTACTCAACTAAATTGTTTCACAGGGCATCAACATTGTGAAGAAGTTAGGTTGTATTTTTCTGTTAAAACGATTATTTCATATATGCTTAAGACGGTGAACTAATGACATAATGCAAGTCCAATATGGTACAAATCTTCAAGGCATAGCTGCTATCAGGCATTCCCATCAACATTGTCAAGAAGTTAGGTTGTATTTTTTTGTTAAAAGTTATTATTTCATATGTGCTCAAGATAATGAAATCTAATGACGTAACGCAAATCCAATACGGTACAAATGAACTTGAAGGCATACCTGCTATCAGGCATGCCCATACAAGTGCAATTTAATCTAATTTATTTCTCCTGAAGGAATGGCACTTTGGAATTTTCAACCATCTTTGACGGAATCGATCAAATCCATGAATCTTAATTGGGGAATGAATTCTCTTGAACTTCTTGGTGAAAGTGCCACATTTTCTTCTGAAATTTTTGGGTTTTGAGAGGCCTATCAGTTTCCTCATACACCTATAGCCTGCATCAAGCCATTTACTTTTGATTGAAAAAGTATATATGCTAAAATGCCACATCAGATAAACTAAATTGAACAATTGTTGGTTCACAGTTCTGCTAAGATTTCTTTTTGTCAGATCTCAGATCTTGGTCTAGGAAAAAAGAGTGGAAACACAAAATGCCAAAATGCTCCTAACAATTCATGTTACTTTGGAAAAAAATTTAAATTGCTGCATTGATGACCATGGTAGTGTACCTTGTCCCTGGGGCTAAAAGGGGTTGCTAATGGTGTCAGTAGCAGTTTAGCGACAATCTATGGGTTATTTTGAATGTTTTGGTTAGACAAGCATATTCTGCAAGCCAGTACCCACCTTGGACCTCTGTATTAAGTTCATTTTCTCCTGTCCTTGATATCTGCAGCACCTGAGAATTGCAAAAAGAAAGAAAAGAGAAAAACAGAAGAAAAATCAATAAAAGTCTTATCAATCAATATATATATATATATATATATATAATAGCAAGTGTAATTAGGGCCATCACCTCTGACAGGTTTTCTAAGCGCTTCCTCATCCTTCTTTGTATAAAACCTCTCGTACACTATTTATATAATCTTGTCAGAAAAACACATAAGAAGTAAAACCACTTAAAGATTCTTTAGACAACAATAGATCTACCTTCACATGATACTTCACATAGGCAGAGAAGTTCAGTAGACTCCATACAGTCTTGTCAAGCTTTGTACCCTCTACATGTTGTGAAAAAATATCTGTAAATATGTCATATGAAAATGTATTAGAGAAAATTTTATCCAGCAGTCCTATGAGTATGTAGATAACTTGAAAAATCCATGCTGTGATTATACAATAGGAAAAGGCATCTGAGAAGTCTGATTGTTTCCTATCTCCTGTTTCCAAACATGAAGGAAAAGCACTCTCTTTTATGTTATTGACCTTTTTTCAGGTTTCTGAAATCTGGTTGTCTGAAAAGAAGAGATACAATCATATACATAGTGAGCCTTTCATTTAATGATAATCACTGATCTTTAAATATATGTATCGTACCAACTACCCCTTTTGTCTGTTTTCTGCTCCTCTTACATTGAAGGTCAAACTTTTTTTTTCAACTACTGGGAAATTCAAATCTAGTTCTTACCAAAAGAGACAAATCCTCCATTGGTACTTAAATCTTCAAAAGGTTCACCTCTCAATTCTGGAGGAGGAATAGGTGACCAGGTACAAGGGGGTGCTTTAGCACATGCTTCTGAACATCCAGCATCCATAAGCTCCTATAAGAGAAAGTTGAGTATTAAGAATCAACAATGGGCATAATACCATCCTTTTCATCAACCAGGAGCAACTGATTCTTTTGTAGTCAGAATTGGAATCCAAACCTGAAAAAATGCTGTCGCAATAATCACATCTGTACTGTCTCTAAAACGCATGGGAAAAACTGCAGTGATCTTCTGTGGCTATGGAACAAATAAATCAAATGTTCAATCGCAAGAAAGAATCTAATGTGGTTAGAAATTATAATAAAATCAGAATCAAAAGTATTTATGGGGTATAAAATTGAATTTAGAAGTAAAAGGAAGCCACCACCTTCGAAGTTTTACATCCGAACAAAGTAACCCTGTAATTGCTTTTAAATATTTCCATCCATTTATATTTCATATTTGGAAAGTGGTCTATGCATTAACACAGGCATCGAGTGTCTTAAACGGAAACATGTTAACTCAGTAAAAATAATAATTGCAGTTGTAAATTTTATGTAGGGAATTGAACTCAAGAGTACTACTTAACTCTACAAGCTTCAGGCATAACTTGGTCTAATTTGATCAAATTTTACATGGAACAGTTTATCCGTGAAAAGGAAACTGGGTAGTTATTAATTTTTGAAATTTTTTTGTTATTTCCTTCAATTTTTAGTGATTATGGTGCACTAAGAATCCAATAGATAGAAAATGTGTGTGAAACAGAAAGTACCAGTCTTATAACAAAGAAAGGCTCTCTTGGGTGATAAACAAGTTTGATGGGTTTGTATGTCCCCTGAGATATCTCCTGGGAACCAAGATTCCACAGCATTTCTTTCAGCTGTGAGCTCAGTATCAATGCTTGCACAGAGGAAATATTTGATATCACCTTGATGCACTCTGAAATAACCAAAAAATTTAAAAGGAAAATAAAGTCAAAATAGAACAGAACAAAGACAGTAAATTGTTGGTATCATATGCATTGTTTTTCACTTATCAAACTAAAATAATTTCATCCATCGAATGTTGCATTAATTTCTTGTAGCACAGGGGAGATATTCAAGAAACAGTAATGGATAAATTGTAAAGAGATATCCTTTTTGAACTAATTTCTTGAAATGTAACTAAGACATGCATGCCCCCTTGTAATGAAAATGACATGCTGAACCATAGATTCAATGTTATGTATATAAGTAGTTGCAACTGAATTAATTTGTTGTGCTGAATTCTACTTTATCTGTTAATTTTCTATTTGAAAGTAATTGTCATCATGCATCTGGTGGCATCTCATTTCAGTTGCTGCATGCATCTTTATCTCTTTTCACTCTTCTTGGAGGCTGTTATTCTCACACGTCTTATCTCATTTGTAGTAATTATATCTGAACATATAAAATATATATATATATAATATGGCAAGAAGTACTTTCTACAACTAGAAAGTTCCAAGTCAAGTTTTATGCTAAGCCACTGTTGTTTGGTTAGAGCTTCTGTCTGGTGTACAAACTGACAAGTTTTAAGCCTCTCTCTCTCTCTCTCTCTCTCTCTCTCATAATTCAGTGTCTGTCAACAGTGTGCTTTGAAGAAAATAATTCTCTTTGTTTCTTTTTCTTACTGTCAATGGTCATTTTTTAACCTCGTGATGAAAAGGGAATCATCCTCATAGACCTCACTCTTCAAAGGAGACCTCCTAAAGCAATAATGCCATACATGATTAATAGGCTGCTCTTTAAAGATAAGATAATATGATACATACATCCCTCCCTTTTTTTGAAAGGTAAAAAGTAATTCATTAAAAAAAAAAGAGAATAAGTGAGAACGAATCTGAATCTTAGCATCCAAATTCATATGGAATGGAGTTCATGCAGGCAGGTCAGTGGAGGAGATCCTTGAAGATAGAAGCAAAAAATTTCCTGTTTGAAGAGATGAGAATCAAGGGGAAGGTAAGCCTGAAGGTAAGGGAAGCGAAAAAGGGTACAATATTGCTGGAAGGATTAGAAGTGATCGAGTGGCTAAGAGAGTTCATAGCTGGAGCCTGTTCAAAAGGTAAGCAGATAAACTGGCAGGATTTTAGTACATTAGAAGGGAGAAGATATGTTGTTGA